CTTGGAGGTCCACATTGTAGAAACCCTTTTCGGCCTTCAAGGTCATAGAATCGCCTTCCATGATCGCCGTCTCCCAAGATGAGTTGTTTGTATCGATACTAGGGGTTGTGTATGTTGCCGATGCAGTAGGAAAATGGGGAGCCTAACTGTTTAACTAGACTTAGCGCATTATAATAACCGTAGCTTAGTCCTAATACCCCGCTTTCTTGCACATCCCTAGTGTTTTTATTAACGTGGCCACATCCGAGCACCTCAATCGGTACCTTTACCGTGCCCTCATCGGATGTCTTGAAGGTCGCTTGTTCGGAGGCGAGGTTACCGGCCGTGGATGATTCGTCAACATATGACATCTCGTAAGTGCAATACTCACCGTGATTAGGATCGCACTTGCTGCGACTCAATAAACAAGCGAGGGAATCACAACAAGTATTGGAGTACGTCGACAATTTGGAGGGATCGAAAAGAGGAGGAGATTGTTTGAAGCAAGTAGTGCAAGGCAGACACTGAATCCAAAGGAGGTTGCTTGCCGTGTCGATTAGCACGGGTTGCGGGATTGGTGGCGTACCGATGGATATATTGGCGTGGAACCCGTGTGCGCCACCAGCTGGGACGAGACTGGCACGAACGTCGTCGTCATTTGGAGTAGCCATTCTTTTGCTCAAGGACGGGATGCGGGCGAGTGAACCGTTAATGGCACGTTCAGCTCATTCGGAAATGGTGGCATTTGGATTATAATATGGAGATTGAATATAATCGTGGTGATTGAGCTTGATCGCTAATCCTTGAGGTTTAACGGCGGTGGTCTTGGACTTAGCCGGGTATGACAAAATGATATTGATAATGCAGATTAGAAAGAAAAAGATATAAGCAGATGTCAATGTAGTAGCCATCAAAGCAGAATCTCAATTTCTTCATATGATTTTGATGAACACTTCCTTCTCTTATATAATTGTATTTCTTGGTATTGCAATTTAGGATATTTTCTGTTGGTTTTTAGTATCTTTCAAGATTGCGCAATATCTCCTTTTATTGTGCATATTTTGATTGATTTATCTTACCTTTGATAGTCTCTCATAAAGACACTCTTCATTATGATATATCCAATTATACACAAATTCCTCAATCCTATCTTCCACTTATTCATTATATCTAAACTTCATCCATGGATTTTTTTTTTGGCCAAATCCATAAACGTTGAAGTTGTATATGGCTGTCACTGTGCATGTGCAGCTCATGTGAGACGTATGCACCTGGATATATTTTCTCGTTTGCACAAACATGAGATTATTTCCCCAATTAATAAAAAGATAATATATTACTGTTAAGACTTCTGTGAATTACCCAAGACAAAATTGGAAATGAGTCCACAGTTAGTTTTTCATTTCTGGTATTGACATAATTAAAGTTCCCATTAAAAAAGGAAAATAGGGAGACTGGAATTACCTTATAAGAGGGACCAATTTAGGACAAGAGAGTTTATGGCAGGATAGTGACATGAAATTAAATTAACATGTCATTGAATTTAGATTGATTTGAAAAGGTAATAAATCTTCTCTATAGTGTCAGTTCTCCCCCGAAGAAATGCATATATGACCAAATTAAAATGGGGACAGATCTAGAACATGACTGTTAGAGTAAAAATACTATAAGAAGCAGCATAAATAAATAGGAAAAAGTATAAAAAAAGTCCTAAACATATTGCATTAGTTCCAATTCAGTTATAAATCTTTCAATTGGACCAATTTAGTCATAAACCTTTTGCATTTGTGCCAATTGAGTCCATCGGATCAATTTTGACCGAAAATTACTGACAAAGACACCAACAATCATATGTGGTACGGCCGGCATTGATGTGAACATTTTTAATAATATTTAAATAATATCTTGAATTTTTATAATTTTTGTATTTCTTTTCTTTTTATTATTATTTTTCTTATTTTATTTCTTTTCATTTTGGCCAGCGAGGGTTGCTGCCCTCACTTAGGCCCTCGCCAGATCTAGGTGAGGGCTGCCTCGCCCATAGCCGACCGTGATCGATGGTCAGCCATGGGCTACCAATTGGCCGGTCACGTTGGATGGCCGATGTCCACGTCAGCGATATCCGGCCAAAATTGGCCGGATTGACTCAATTGACACAAATACAAAAGGTTTAGGATTAAATCTGTCAAATGGAAAGGTTTATGATTGAATTGGTATCAATACAATAAAATAAGAATTTTTTGGTATTTTTTCTTAAATAAATACTACGAATTCGGGCGCACGCTTCATTATCTACCAGAAGAATCGTACAAGTTCTAAATAATATAAGTATCCTACTGCCAAATATTTTTATTTAAAATCCATATGTTAAGTACCATAATCATACAATTTAAAGAGCCACCCTGCTAATTAAGGAAAAATATTTTTTTTATATGACAACTTGCTTTCAAACAAAGCTTCCTTCAGATTTTCTTACCAAATGTATCAATTCTTTGGGAATCTTACGACACGTCTATATAATTCATGAAGAAGCCTTTCATGCTATCACCAAAGGGCAAATTTTTTTATTTTTTTTCATTTTGATAGATGCAAAAAAACCTTTTATGGTTTGTCCTATCGTTTTTTTCATTGACTCATCTTATACAAACATCTAAACTGTTATGCTTCCGAATGCTTGAATGCCTCATATTATACTGAAAAACAACATGCACTACTGCTGCTCATGAACCTAGCATGATTCGAGACTTAGAGTAGTGATGATGAACTATGCTCTATACCACTATTTGACCAAAGGGAGAAGGTGAATTGCAAAAGAGAATTAGAGGTTTCTCTCGAGATATTGTTGCGCTTCCTAGCTTTATTAATGTTCAACTAATAACAGAAGTAACTGAAGAATGAGAGGAGATCATTATCTGAATCTATGCATCCACTTTCTGTGTTCGCTTCCGGGTATAATTCTTCATGGACAAACGGACAGCGTATTTCACAGCGAGGCTGCGCGGGAGGTGTGCAGGTGCTGTTACTTTATTGCTTGTTGCTCAAAAACTACACAAGTCCGAAGCTCGCGTTTGGCCGATGCTCTTACAAAATAATGCAGCTGTAGTTGATGACTTCTACTTACATATGGTATGCCTACTTTGTACTGTCGGTCTTATATTCACATTTTTGGCAAGATGTACAGATGCCGTTTTGTAGAAGTTGATGCGGTCATCACTAGTAATGCGAATCTACATATTGGCTAAATAAGTGATAACGATATTCCCATTCATTTTTCCTATATGTGATAATGATGTTCCCATTCATTTTTCCTAAGTGTCCAAGGTTCATAAAGTGAACCTTCAGAAGATCACCACAGGCCGAAGCTTGGGGCCAGAATGTTTCTATTCTTCTGTCATGGATGACTCTAGAATAGAAAACTATTATCTGATGACCTTACTATATTTCTGTCGTGAAGATTATTTATTTCTCTAACCCAGGTTCAAGACATCAATTTGGATTGTGGACTTGAAATTGTTGCTGAAACTCTTCTTGATGGTCTGTCCAGGGTAAAGAGGTGTACTGATGAAGGACGGGCTCTTACGTCCTTAGATTTTCAGCTTATGTTCGAGAAAATAATGGCAATTTTCTATTGCTTTACCTCCTCTCACGTTGAATTGGAATTTTCCACTGTTGGAGTCAACAGCTAATATGAGAGAAAGAGAAAGTAAAGTTCAACTTGCCAAGGAAATTCATTGGATAAGGTTACGGCAACTCCCTATCTAACTGAAGTCGGCAATCTTCATGAGGCAGTGGAACATCTATAAATAAGGCTTAGAGTGAAGCATTTATAAAACAAAGCCACAAAAAGTCTCTAGCAGTGAGAGCAAAGAAGAGAGTTGGCCTCGTGAGAGAGAGCCAAGGTGTGAGCCTCAGAATAGAGAAATAGAATAGCTGAGTGTGCGCTTGAATCAGCTAGTTTGCTTTGAGTGTTTTGAGTGCGGTGAGAGAAAGTAGATAGTAACAGCTGTGTGAGATTATTTTTGAGTGTTATAGTTGTACCGCATTTTCATATAATAAGTGTGTCTTGAGTTGTCTATTACAATTATCTCGCGTTACCACCATAACGCTTCCACATACCTTACAAGTGGTATAAAAGTAAGTTGCGCACTCTACATCTACAGCTCTGACCTTTTCTTTAGGTTATGATAAATGGACTACGGCGTATATGTGAATGTGAAGCCCAAGTTCATGACAATGTAAACTTTCATCAAGGAATGGGACATCTGATAAATACTATGATAAATACTATATTGAAAGTGGCTAAGGAATGGGACATCTGAGGCTGCATGAAGTGCCCTATAGTTCATTCTCATCATGCTTTCTTACTCATGGACTGCTACGTTTATTGATGTTCCTTTTGTCCTTCAGCTCATGAGAAGGCTTACTATCTACCAGAGACTGAATACGTTCATTGGGCTCGCGCCTACCCGATGAGGATATTATACATCGTGGGAAACTATATCTTAAGTGCACTTCAGTCAACCGTCTCAATGAAAATGCAAATATATTTTCCTTTGCCAGAGTACACAAAAAACCAGATTATTGGACTAGGCGACCTGGTTGCTGTAATGAAAGGTAGGAAGAGAAAACAAGATTGGAAGTTTTAGAAAATATCGAATAACCTGGGCTTGGTGTCTGTTTTATTGCGCAAGGTTCCAAGTATGTGAATTTCTTTTTCATCTTCGTCTTCCTTAATGTATATTTCAATGGAATATGGAGTGATTCGGTTAGTCATACATATAAAATTCGCCCACGAGTGTATATGAATGTCTTTGGGTATCTCCATTTATATATTAAACCAGTTACACCATACGTCAATGCAATTTTTCTTCTCAGAGAGTTTACATAATGAGGTCAAACCCAATTATATCACTTATTATCTCAGCTCATTTCTTTAGAGGCTAGATTCTATTTCCCTGATAAAGGAATGCATCATCATGAATCAAAGAGAGTACAAGTAAGGAGGTTGCATGCGGGGGTACACCTAGGAATGACCGTCACTAGGAAAATTGCATAGAAACAGAAGATCAGGGAGACAAATTCTTTTGCTGATTTCCAATTTGTTTCCCTTCTGATAGATTGTCCTTCCATTTTTATTACAAATATGTGAACTCAAAAAATGGGCATGGCTGTTTTTTTTCTGTTCTGAATGGGAAAAAAAAATAAAAAGCTGCACCGTTCTTCTTCCTTTTGTCTGTGTCATGGGATTTGAGGTATTTGACCTATCAGAACCAGAAGCCTCACTCCCATCGTCTGCCTTTTTTTTTTATTGCTTTGGCCTTAGGTGGAAGCAGGTGACTGTGTGATGGCAGTGACCATGTCCAGTGATACGCAGGGTTGATCCACTGGTACCTGCTGAACCAGTAAAAGTCAGAGATTAGAAAGAAACTTTTCTTCATATTATGAGAAAAATATTAGATATGTTGTGTCAGCCTGACAGTATGTTGTTCTCCACACGAGTAAAGCTTTTACTGGGTGAGACTGACACACATCTTGACTTAGTAGTGCCGTACTACCCTATTTTCCTTTCACAATTAATGCCTTGACTACCATCTGCATTATTTGGTCATAGATTACGTACTCGATGCATGATGAATTGATGATGGCGTTTATTCTCCTACAGTAGAAGTGATTCTTATTAAAAAGTCCTTTCGCCAACAAAAATTTTGCACTGACTTCGATTAATGTGAAAGAATGGTTCCATGACATATCAATGTGGGCCTAAGAGGCAGTGTAGTTTGCTGATATATTTTTCAGTATGGAAACTCTTACTTCATTCAAATGATGGGTTAAGTGTAATTATTTTTAGGGAAAGTTCCACAAAAAAGCCCGAAGTGGAGTAATTTTCTCAAATAAGGATCCGAAGTGGATATTGTATCAAATAAGAACCCGAAGTGCCCTCATTTTCTCAAATAAGGATATGAAGTAAATCTTGTCTCAAATAAGGGCATGAGGTGGTCAAATCAGTTTCAAATAAAGACTTGACTTCAACGGTTAAAGGGTGTTTTCGTCTTTTTACTTTTTTGAATTTTTTTATTTCTTTTTTCCTTTTTTCCTTTTCTTGTCCTTTTTTTTTTTCCTTCTTTTCCCTCCTCTAGCCATCGCTCGGGCCGGCGAAGGTCGCCGACCTCAAAGTAGGCGGCTTGCCTGAGCATGCGAGGGTTGACCTCGCGCTCGGGCTACCTCGGCCGGGCCTAGCGAGGGTCACCCTCGCCCGCCTAGCCCAAGTGAGGCGACCCTCGCTCGACGCCGGCAAGGGCAACCCAGGCAAGATGGTTGCCCTCACTGGCGTCGGGCGAGGGCAACCCTTGCCAGATCCGGCGAGGGCAACCCTCGCCCTCACCAGCCCAGGCGAGGGTGGCCCTCGCCCAACGCCGGCGAGGGCAAGGGTTGCCCTTGCTCGCCCAGCCCAGGCGAGGTGACCCTTGCCTGACACTAGTGAGGGTGACCCTCGCCCGACGCCAGCGAGGGCGGCCCTTGCCCGAGGCCATCGCCGGCCAGGCGCAGTGACCACTGTCGAAGAAGAAAAAAGGGAAAAGAAAAAAGAAAAAGGAAAAGAAAAGGAAAGTGAAAAAAAATCAAAAAAAATATTTATAATTTTTTTTACTAAAATACCCCTTTTTCGGCGATGGAATAGTCACCGGCCAGCCAAAGGTCCTCATTTGAGACAATTTGGCCACTTCAGACCCTTATTTGAGACAATATTTACTTCAAGCCCTTATTTAAGAAAATGACTCCACTTCGGGCCTCTTTTTGGAATTTTCCCTTATTTCTACTCCTCTTGCATTTCAAAAAGAAGAAGAGGAAACAGCCTCATAAATGTTTCAATCAAAAGCTTTTCCCAGTGAATGCAATCATAATATTTCAAGTAGGATTCATGGTGTTGATTAATTAGCGAGATGGACATATGAATCGCAGCTAATGCAAAGAAGAACCGAGTACCATGCGTATTATCTTATTTATGATTTAAATATTGGCTCTAGAGTTTTCACTTGAAGTAAATGCATAATCTAGTCCGTCAATTGAATGACTTTTTAAAGAAAAAAATTAGGGTGACCTGGCAAAATGATGAGATATTTGGATTAAACAGAACAAGGGAAAGAATAGAAGAGCTGTCCTGTCCCTCTTATCGATGGCAACAAGCATTTTCTCGGTGAGGTTGACCTGTCAGATGCGGATGTATCTAGCTAAATGCATGTGAATGGTTATAAAGTTAAAAACTGTATGGATCAGTCAATCATATCCATGAAAATTAATCTGGGTCTTATCTTGGGGTGGCCTTAAACGAGCAGTATCTTTAGATGTGATGCTGATAACGATGACAACTCAAATTAAGGCACTTGATGATGTGTTGATGACGAGAATGATGATGCAGGTTGTGGTGAAGGACCCCATGTACAAAGCCAGGAAAAGAATAGGATAACAGTGGAGTGGGGCAACGAAAAAGAGGATTGCTTTGTCAAGGGGGAAACAAATGGGTGGTTGTGTTTGAAGTGGTAGTAAGGTTAGCTTTGACTTACGAAGTGGCCTGCTCCAAGAATCCAGTAAAAGTGCAAGTTCTTGTATGATCTCTTGAACCCCTTTGTGACACTTCCTGTCCCACAATACAAAGGAGTCCTCTCCATGCTTAAAAATGTCTTGAGTCCTTCCCACCTGAAATTTATTTTTAACAAAAGGATCAACTGAAAAATCACAAAATGGTTATTCATTCCTGCATGAGAGAGAGAGAGAGAGAGAGAGAGAGAGAGAGAGAGAGAGAGAGAGAGATTTACTTGAGCTTCTCAACCCATGCTTCAGTCCCCTTAGTTGCACAGATTAGATCAACCTGCATGACATTAATTAGATCAAGCCATTCTATTAGTTTTCCTTTTCTTTTTGGTTGCCTTTTTGTTTTTTCTTTTCTACTTCCTACAATACACTTTCCCTACAAATGAAGTCATTGTTGGGGCTACAAACACAGGAGGACCAGCCAGAGCTAAATCTTTATGAAAAAAAAGGTCAGCAACAGGATACCAAGGTCATGAGGTAGTGATGAGTAATCAAAACTTTGGTGGGGTGGTCCATGTGGAATTATACCCACTCCAGCTCAGTTGCTTTCCATTGACGTGAAAAAGTTTGAAGAGTTGAAACTTGAAAGTGACTCCGAGAAAGAGATATCTTACCTGCCCATTGTATATAGTCACATTCACTCCTTTGGCGAGCAGCTCATCGACCTGAATGCATACATGCCTAAAGATCAGTACCAAAAGCATATTTGAGAATAGTAAGTAATTATTCACAAGACACGTGAAATGATAAGATATATATAGATGACAAAAGAATAATTAGCAGCAAAAAGACAAACTTTTGTTTTCACATTATCTCTTGTAGTAGATAAGAAAATTGTCGGCAGCAAAAGTCTGGCTTTCATTGTCGATATTAGATATTGCAGCATCTTTCCTTCAATGTACACAAAGGCAAAGGGTCCAAAACATACACTAATATGTATCAGAGGATTGATATCACCCTCTTTTTCTTTAAGACCTTATTAGTCTTTGCGTGCGATAATAATTATTCAATTACTGTCCTGCCGGCAATTCTTGACCTTAACAAGGAGTTCTACATCAATTGATCCATTTGAACCGCCTACAGAAGGATTTAAAAATTCTCTAGCACGGTGATGTCAATTACGTTACCTCTTCAATTCTTGGTTTCATGAAATCACCTTGAAGAGATGAGAAGACGGAGTCCGACTGCTCTCCCCATCTGCACAGATGAATAATTCATGTGGTTTCATCAGACTTTGGAAATCCTCAACAGAACTATTTTTCATTTTCCAATGACGGAATGAAAAGGCGCTCACGTAAAATTTGCTGGGATTATCCGGAGCTTCTTCTTGACAGCGCCGTTCATCAAACTGTCCAAGTCGCCGGCAACACTAGTGGAAGTTTTCAAGTAACTCAAGTATCTCGCGTATCTCTTCATCGATGGCGCTAGTTCCACTGCTTCCAGGGACACGGGGTCCATTCCGCTATCCAGTAAAAAATTGTAGAAATCCTACATTGTCAAGAAAGGTGTGGAAGACCCAAAACTTATAATTTGTAATGTAAAAAAAGAACTAATCTTGTTAATCTTCTTGGTGCTTTTAGTGTCGCACTTTCAACTTTATAGAAAAGAATGTATAGAATATGTCGTACCACTGAATTGCTACTGGAGGAGATCAATCCCTCAAGCTCACGCCAAGAAGCTGTGGCCTCTGTATATTGCCCGCTCCTTAGCTGCTGCCTAATCTTCTCAGCTACGCTGTTTTCTGAAACCGCTTAGTTACATTACCAGAGATAATATAATTCAAAAATCTTTTTTTTTTTCCAATTTACTCTAATAGTGAAGATGATAGACCTGTTCGACTTTTCCACACCATTGTCATCAAGTCTTGAAACGTCTTTGAGAAGAGGAGCCCATGAAAACTGCAAAAAGAAAGGAAAAAAAATCATTTTCAGGCGAAGATTTGGATATTCAAGATTCCCAAAGGAAAAATATGGAACATTTCAGGATCTGCTTTCGAAATATATTCTCACCACAAAGTCTTCAGGGGAGATCCAGCTGTCTCCTAATGCAACTCCTGCATTGAAGAGATCAATCAGAGTCCCGAAATTGAATCCTTAATTCGTTCCAATACCAGATAACACAAGATGAATCTTGAAAACCAGAAAACTGGGTTTTGTTCTTTTCTTTTCTTTTTCGGAACAATGAAGATTTTCATCGGTGAAACTCAGTTCTTGAGAAGCTAAAGAACAGAAATCTATGTTATGATACCTCCAAGCTTTAGCTTCAATTTGCCAGCTTCAATGGCTTTCAGTACAGACAAGGCAAGAGTGACTGCATATTTCCCTCCGTAAGACTCAGCCACAATGTAGAGAGGACTCTTCTGGAGACTCTCATTCCTGTTGAATATCTCTATCAGCAATGTACACAAATCTATTCCAGCTTCTTCATCTGTCTTCACAAAAAGCTTTGGATCCTCCACAAAACTGTATCCTGTTCCAACTGGGTTGTCCTGTATTTGTATTATATCAATCAAATATCATCCAAGCATTTATACAAACGAGCAAATGGGGAAAAAAAAATCAAATCCATGTCTCGTTTATAAATTGTTCATCATTTTACCACAAACAAGAGATCAGCTTTCTGCAACCATGTCGACTTTCGTGGTTTCAGGTTGGTGTCCAGTGGTCCAATCTCTTCAAAGTTGCCCATCCCAACTCCTGATGCACCCTGTTTTAATGAAAGTAAGTACATGAATATGTCTCAACATACATTGTATGCACTTTACAAGCTAAAAAGACGAATAATTTTATTCGTGTTTGGTGTAGAGGGAATTACCGGTCCACCCTGCAACCAGAGAATGACAGGCCAGGGCTTGGAGGGATCATCAACTCTGTTTGGACTTCTGTAGTGCCACCAGAACATGTGTGCTTCTGCGTAATTGCCAAACCAATACACACAAACGCAAAGAAACAGGTCAGACAATGGAAGTGAGGATTAATTCACAGGTTCTGAAGCATCTTTGGGGGCTTACTGGGTCTGACTTCAACATAACCCCACTCTTCTGATCCATCCTCTGTTCTTCCAGCTATGTCCATCCACCCATACCCAAGCCACAGCAGAAACAACACGGTCACGTAAGGACTCGCCCTCCTCATTCTGAAAAAGAGGCCCAGTTTACCCAACAAGTTTTCTCTTCACCTATCGAATGAAGAAAGAAGGCAAAGCAGACGACTTTACACGCACTCACCCAAACTCGCGGACTCAAAAGTGAACTGGAATTAGCTTTCTTCTTGTTCTGTTTCGCAACAGATCTAATCAAAATAGGATAAAGGGTCGAAGCTCCCGCTGATTTGACGTCAGTGGTCTTCCTTTAGAAATTTTTTTGTTTTGGTCGAATCCTATAGAGAATTAAAGCGTATATATTATGGTGTGCCTAACGGGACGACAGCCAGAACACTGAGGATTAATACCATAAAAAATCCCAAATTAATATATTTGTGATAAATTTATCCCAAACTAATTTTTTTATCACAAAAAATCCCAAACTAGTGTATTTGTGATAAATTTACCCTCTGTTAATTTCAGTTAAATTGGATTAATGCAAAAAAAATCACAAATTGGTATATCTGTGATAAATGGAGGGTAAAACCTAAAACTAGTATATCCGTCAACTACCGAGTATCATTTAATAAAGCAATTTAACGGTAAAATTTAACGGAAACTAACGTAGGGTAAAATTATCACAAGTGTATTAGTTTGGGGTTTTTGGTGATCAATAACTTAATTTGAGATAAAATTATTACGTGTGCATTAATTTGAAGTTTTTGATGGTATTAACCTTGCCACCTATGCTCGTGAGCCAAAAGCTTGACACAGACCTAACGCTACTAATTCTACGCCGACAGCGGCCTTTTGTCTTTTTCTTTTGGAACAGTCCGAGAACTACTAGAGTCGTAGGGAAAAAACACGCAGTAACACCAACAACGGTACAAAAATAAAGAAAGAAAAAGAAGAAGAAGAAGACCAGGTTGCTCGTGTTTTGCCTTACGTGCGGAGGAGTGTCTGAACTGGCGCAATAGACGTTTGGTGACTTCGACACGAGGAGTTCTGGACCTGAACTAGCAGTGGTGGCGAAGGAACAACAACTATGGAGTTTCTCATCTCGGAGAGACGTGTGGACTCTTGACTGTGTCGACGAAAGAGATTGCGTGCGGGCAAGATTCTCGCTTTGAGAAGGAGCAAAAACCTGGCTATAAACACTGATTTGTTACTGTTAAATTTTCGATTCAATGGCCCATGACAGAAGGGGAAATGGATCTGCGGTTGGGTTTTGATTTCTGGTAATGTTGTGATGATGATGAGTCAGAGATGAACATCCCCTGAAAGAAGGGAAAAAGGTGGAATTGGAATTGACCTTTTCAAAGGGACCGACCTTAAAAACAGATAACAATAATAATAATAATAAAGGGGACCGATTTAGGACAAGAGTTTATGGACAAAACAGGAGAAAATTATCCAAAAAGTCCTGACCTATTTCACTCTTACCAATTTAGTCATAAATCGTTTGATAATTACTAATTGACCTATTTCACTCTTACCAATTTAGTCATAAATCTTTTGATAATTACTAATAGAGTAGTCTATCACGTCAATTTTTTATGAAAATTACTGACGTGAACGTTGGCCGACGCTGACGATGATATTTTTTTAATAATATTTTAATGATTTTTAGAATTTTTTATGCTTTTTTTTTCTTTTTTTGGGTTTTTGGAGCGATGGACGACAACCCCGGCTCTGGCAAGGGCATCGGGGCCCACGCCGGCCAAAGCGAGAAAGCTCAAGCCCTCGCCCAAGCCCTTGTTATGGCCGGCGAGGGCATCAGGAAAGGGCCACCAAGCCCTCGCCGTCCATAGAGAGGGCCGCGAGCCCTCGCCGACCACAGTGAGGGCCGCGATGCCTTCACCCAAAGCTCGTCCGTCACTCCAAAAACCAAAAAAAAGGTAAATAAAAAAAAAGACATAAAAATTTTAAAATATTATTAAAAAATGTCTACGTCAATGCCGGATGTGCCACGTAGGACGGATGGGTTCAATTAACAAATTGTCAAAAGGTTTAGGACCCAATTGACAAAATTAAAAGGTTTAGGACCCAACTGGCAAAAATGCAATAGGTTTAAGACTTTTTTGGACAATTTTCCCGGCAGAATAGTGACATGAAATTGAGATTAAGTTGTCGTTGAACTGAAATTGATTCGGAGAGGTAATAAATCTTCAACTTTGATGTCATATTATTTCCTCCTATAAATGTACATTAGACAAAGTTAAAATAGGGACGGATCTAGGACAAGACCATAAGAGAGAAAATTACTAATATAAGCAGCATAAATTAATATTAAGAATGCCGGAGAATCATACAACTTTTGAATAAGTATAAGTACCCTAATGCCATACGTAATAATTGAGAATCCATACATCAATTACAATAATCATACACCATAAAGAGCCACCCAGCTAATTAATAAAAAATTCATAACAAATTACCGATACACAAACCTGCTTTCAAATGAACCCTAGTTCAAATTACTGATTTACATCATCCATGCGTTGCTCAAGCCGAACGTTAGCATACATTACATTATCCCATCAGTCCTAAACCTATTATGGGAATGTCAACTCGGTCTTAAACTTTCTAATTTTACCGACCGAGTCCTAAACCTTTGCGTGTAATTTCAATATAACCCTTCCGATCAATTTTCACCCAAAATCGCTGATATGATGTTCCGGTTGTTTCCGGCCGTCGTGCGTGTGATTAGGTAATCGTCGCTATTGAAAAACAAGTACGCTGCGTGCGATTTACACTTGATGAGTAAATAAGAGTAGATTCGAAGTCTCGATGTCTCTTTCATTCTCGGCCACCATCACCCCCCAAGAACCGAACACATTGATTGCGAAATCACATCTGAAAATGCCCGTCGCTGTCCAGCAACGTGGCCGCAGCGTTCCAGCGCATGCACTGCTGTTCTTGAACCCTCCTAGAGCCATGATTGGAGTAGCGGTGATGATGAGTCGTTGCACTAGAACGACGATTTTGACTAAATATTTTCGTACGCTTTCCTTAGCTTTTTTACTAACACTTCAAGCAATAGAAGAATGAGAGGAGAGATCATTGGCTCAATCCGTGCATCCAATTTTATATCTTCGCTTTAGGGTATAGTCCTCCGTGGAAAGACGGACACGGCGTTTCACGTCGATGGAGCGGGAAAATTATCCGATCCATCCTAAAACTTATTGTACGGATGTCAATTCAGTCATAAACATTCTACTTTTGCAAATTTAGCCGACAGCCGGTAATGACTAGATCGCAATGTTAATGATTTCTAGAGAAAATTGATTGAAATGATTGTATCATAATCTCGCGCAAAGTTTTCCCGCGCATGTAGGCCCATGGACAACCTTCTTTCTATATAGAAAGAGCTTTGTAATGATCTGATTCGTGCAATATGGTGGGAACGTTCATCATGGAGGACAGCTTTCCAAACTTTAAAGCACATGGGTGGAGGCTTGGCGGCTATAGGTTTAATCAAATGAATATTAATCCACCTCGAAATCCACATTTTTAATTTGCCAATAGCTTCGTGTAAAGATGGGCTTTGAAAGGCCCTCCTGTTCTTTTGGGCCTCGTAAGAAAAGCTGGTGCTGGACTTCGTTTTCCATTGATTTTGTTCATGAAAATCCAAAGGGTGTCGTGAGATTTGATCTCATTCACATGACCAAAGACTATTGGACCTGAGTAGGTCCTTAAATGGCTTTATTTCGAATCTCATCCGGACCTCGAAATCATCAGGTAAAGATGGGCTTTGAAAGGCCCTCCTGTTCGTTTGGGCCTCGTAAGAAAAGCTGGTGCTGGACTTCGCTTTCCATTGATTTTGTTCATGAAAATCCAAAGGGTGTCGTGAGATTTGATCTCATTCACATGACCAAAGACTATTGGACCTGAGTAGGTCCTTAAATGGCTTTATTTCGAATCTCATCCGGACCCCGAAATCATCGGTATATAAAACTTTCAGAGGGTATTTTCTCTTCTTAAGGAAGACAAAGATACTTAGGGAGTTAAAGGCACAAGACGTGGGCACGTTAAAATAAGGAACGCATCTATGAAGTCTGTCCCACGGGATGGGGACAGGTCGTGGAGGCCCTCATTAGAGCTTCGGCTCCCTTCCTTTGGTGAGGTGCAAATGACCAAAACTGGGGATGAGTAAAATTCTGCTGATTGCGACGTGCAAATGACACGATTTCATCGGCCTATTCGACTGTTTCTTCACATCTTTTCTACGAAATTCCACCATTATCTTGTCTTGATTTCCAATGATTCCACATATCTTGCCAATCGCATGAATCCAAAATCCCAAGTTGTCATTGATGTTTCTGTCTCTCTTTTATCTCTTTCCCTCCCTCCCTCTTTCTCTCTCTCTTCTCCCTATCAATTCAGAAATCATTTGTTTAGTGACTTAATCGTCTATTTGTAGCCCTAATCGTTTTAGCAACAAAGGTGTATCATTCGATCCACATACCCACAATATTATAATGTCGATCAAGGCGGAAAAAAATAGACGATTCCTCGTTCCAACATAATAACATTTGAGGTATATCTCTTTTAGGATGACATCGATGTGGATATTGCTCTAGGATTGAAATCTAATACATAAATTTATACGAGCGTATTGCGATTACTCGATCTTTAGTTTCCGAATGTTAAGAAAAAATATATATTATGCATCGCACTCTAACGGGCTTAATCTTCTGGAGTGCACGGATGCAAATATAGCTCTAGCAACTAGGCTTCCGCATCTTTCGTATCTCAGATTTAGTGCAGTGCGGAATATGTTTTGCATCTCGACACTGACTCTCAAAACAAAGTGTGCATTCCTTCGATATGTGGAAAATTGTCCAAACAAACACTAGACCTAGTAAAAAATTCATGACTAAATTGGTTAAAATCAAAACGTTGAAGACCAAAGCAGCTACCGTACGATAAGTTTATGGCATTTTGAACAAATTTTCCCAATGACATGACATGGCTGTTGTCAGCTAAGTTCGTATACCAGAAATTGAAATCAAACGTCAGGAAAACTAACCTGAAAGCAGTACAAATAAATAAACAGAATGTTGATCCGAGCCCAACGAAGTAACGTCGTGTCCTTAAGACGAATTTGGCCCCTCAATCAGTACCCGAGGATATTGGACAATCGTTTCCCAGGATAGAACGGATTGCCTTTCCTATGAAGCGGTACTTCTT